GGGCATGCCCCTCTACAGGACGAATATTCAGAAGTAGTCCAAAAATACTCCGGGGACGATTTTCTGGTCATTTTGGTACTTTCGGGTCATCTTTTACGATCTCTTATTTTTCTTCCAAAGCCCGCCTGTAGGGGGACTGCAAAAAAAACCCAGGATTGCAAAAAAACGAAGGATTGCAAAAAAACGAAGGATTGCAAAGGATTGCAAAGGATTTGCAATCCTTCGGTTTTTTTGCAATCCTTCGCCCGACCTGAAATTGCGGGGCCCTCTGGGCCTCGTGGGGGGTGCCCTGGAGGCCGCGGGGGGCCTGCTCGGAACTCCTTGGGGGGCACCTCGGGCCAGGAGGCACTTCTCATGGCGCCAACGTCGCAGAGCGGATGTCGGTGGGAAAGTGATAGGATTACGTCGGGCATGCTTCTCTACAGGGGGAATATTCAAAAATAGTAAAAAGATAGTCTGGGGACGATTTCGTGAGCAAAGTTTTTTTGTAAAATATTCTTAACATTTCGCCCAAAGTATTGATTCCCCAATCAGAGCTTGCCTCTGTAGGTGTCCTAGCGGATTCATCTTGTTAGGTTAGGTTTGCCGCCGATTTTCGCCGCACGCCGGGGTGCCCGGGTGCCCGGGGGTGCCCGGGTGCCCGGGAGTGCCCGGGTGCCCGGGTGCCCGGGGGTGCCCGGGGGTGCCCGGAGGTGCCCAGGGGTGCCCAGAGGTGCCCCGGGGTGCCCGGGTGCCCCGGGGTGCCTGGGTGCTCTATCGCCCTATAGCCTTATAGCCCTATATCTCTATAGACCTATAGACCTAAAACCCTATAGCCCTATAGCCCTAATAGTCCTACAGCCCTATAGCCCTAAAGTCCTTATGCCCTATAGCCCAATCGCCCTATAGCCCTAGAATCCTATAGCCCTTATAGGCCTGTAGCTCTGTAGCCTTATTGCCTTGTAGCCCTATAGCCCTATGTTCCTATAGCCCTATAGCCCTATAGTCCTATAGCCCTAGCCCTATGGTCCTATAACCGTATAGCCCCATAGCCCTACAGCCCTAAAGATATTATGATTGGGTGTTTCTCCGGTACCATTTTTTAAGCAGATATTCTTAATTTTTCGCCCAAGATCCGCCTGTAGGGTGACACGCCTCACCGATTGATAGGATGGGGCCCGGAGTGTCGTGGATGATTTCGTTCCGGGCTTCGATGTGAAATTTCGTGCGGACATGTTTGGACAGGAAGGAAGACTAAGAAACAATGCATGCAAAATTCGCTCGCCGTTTCGGGGTCTTGCACAGACAGAAGTCCACGCAAACATCCGCTGCAGCAGGTCTGCAGGGTCGGTGCAAGGGGCGCTTCTCGGCCCCCCGACCGCGCCTCGGGTGTGCGATCCTGCTGGCCCGCGCTCGGAGACGGCGCCTTCCTGCGCACGGAAGCGCAGACGGGCCCCCCGTGGGGCGCGGTCTGATCACCGTCGTCGTCGTCGTCGTAGGCCTCGTCCTCGTCCACGTCCTCGTCCTCGTCGTCTTCGTCGTCGTCATCGTCGTCGTCGTCCTCGCCGTCCTGCCAAGGGCCCCTTTGTCCACGCCAGGGGGGAGGGCATCCCAGCACCCCTGCTTAGCAAGCAGCACCTCCAGCTTCTGTGAGGCGGGCCCACTCCGCACGCGTGGCTCAGGGGCCCGGACGACGTTGCCGTCCGATGGGGTGCGCTCTCCTCGGGTGCGATCCCTCGGAGGCGACGCGGGCCGTGGCGACGACGTGCAATATGGATTAACCCCGAGATTTGTTCCCTCGTCGCAGCCATGAGGCGCCGAGGCGCCGAGGGCCGAGGGCACGGGCTCGAGTGCCGCGGGGTCGTGGCGCCGAGGGGCGGAGGAGCCGAGGCGGGGGGGCGTCGAGGGCCGCGGAGGCGAGGAGCCGAGGCTCGAGGCTCGCGGGGGCGGTCCCCGCCGGCCACTGCGCGCGCCCCGCAGCGGCTCGGAGGGGCGGGCGGCCGCTCCCCGCGGCCCGCCTGGGCGGCTCGCGCGCCACCTCGGTGGCCGCGGCGCGGAGGCTCGGCGCGGTCGCTGCCCCCGGCGGTCGCCGCCGCCGCCGCGGCCGTCGCGGCCACGTCGACGGCGATCGCCCCGCGCTCAGGGCGTGAAGGTCATGACGGCGACAGCGACGATCGCTCGTCGACGGCGATCACTTGGCGACGACGGTCACTCGGCGTGGAGGACCACCACGACGGCGACGATCACTCGGCGACGGCGGCGGGCGGCGTCGCTGGCGTCGTCGTCGTCGTCGTCGTCGTCGTCGTCGTCGTCGTCGTCGTCGTCGGCGTCGGCGCTGCCGCCGCTGCCGCCGCCAACGTCGATGTCGATCTGTGACCCACGGCTGGACGTGGCACTGCAGTCTGGTCACGGACACGGAGGACGTGTGGAAGCAGTGCCGAGCGCCAGGGCGGGAGCGGGCCTCCCTTACCCTTCCCCTCCCCTCCGTGATCCTGCTCTCGGGCCGTTGGCGGTGTCGCCGCCGCTGCCGTCGCCGCCGCCGTCGTCCTCGTCCTCGTCCTCGACGTCCTCGCTGGCGCCGTCGAGGAGGACGTTTGCCCCGAGGCCGCCCACGGGATCGGCCGAGAGCCCTCGAGGACCCAGGGCAGGCTCTGGACTCACCGATCGCATGCGCGCGTGATGACGTTCGCCGCCGAGGATCGGCGCTCGGCGAGCGCGGACCGAGCGTCGACGATCGAGGACCCGGGCCTCGACGATCGCCGACGGAGGGCCAAGGTCCGAGGGCCGAGGGTGCGGGCTGCAGCATCGCGGAGTCGAGGAGCCGAGGGGCCGAGGACCGAGGCTCGAGGTCCGAGGACCGTGATGTGCTCTTGCTCTCGAGCTCAGCCTCGCTTCGACCTGCTGACCCCGAGGTCCACTGGGAGGGCCTCGGGCCCCCTGGCCGAGGAGGAGGAGGAGGAGGAGGAGGAGGATGAGGAGGAGGATGAGGAGGAGGAGGAGGAGAAATGTGTGGGCGGCACAGGTGCCCTCTGCGTCGGGTGCTGCGGCATCTGTGCCCACCTCGGATGGGTAGGCTGGTGGCGCCGGGGAGCCCTGGCCCACTGGGGATGGAGATAGTCAGAGGAAAAGGCACCGCTACCGCTACTCCAGATTTCGTAATAAAGGGAGGGGGGTCTCATTTCGGGGGGGGTCTCTTCCAGGCTATCTTGGAGGGCCTGGGGGGGTCTGGGGACGATCTTTTGGAGGGTTCTCCCACGGGGGGGGTCTGAAATGGCTTGTCCTGGAGGGTCCAGACCCCCTCCCTTTTATTACGAAATCTGGAGTACCCTTTCCTCGTGTTTCTCTTTTTTGGGTCTCCAGGGAGGCCCTGGTTGCCACGGCTTGGTTCGCCTCGAAGTTTCGGTCAGAACGCACCCAGAGAGGTCCGGGGAGTAGCGGTATCGGTACCTTTCGGTTTTTCGGGGGGTAGGTCTGACGATATTGATGAGTTCCCTGCGTGATTAGTTGGGAGCTCAGTAGCCTCGTCAGATCCCTGGGCAGAGGGGATGTCGATAATCTCTCTGCGCGGTTGCATGGTTGCGTAGTTGGGAGCTGCGCGATTCGTCGGGAGCGCCCCGCGTAACAGATCACTTGAGCTGCGGGGGAGGGGGATAGGCCTGACGACTGGGGACGGGGATATATCTGACGACCGTGGCACTGGAATCGACGGTCTCCGGAGATCGAGGGTCTTTGGCCCCCTCTGGGCCTGCCGTTGGGCCTCCCAGAGGCCTTGAGAGGTCTTGGCTGCCGCCGCTTCTCCTCCTCCTCCTCCTCCTCTTCCTCCTCCTCCTCCTCCTCCTCCTCCTCCTCCTCCTCCTCCTCCCTTCATTCCGCCATCACCTCCTCCCCCTCCCTCCCTTCCTCCCTCCCTCCTCCTCCTCCTCCTCCTCCTCCTCCTCCTCCTCCTCCTTGTCCCCTCCCCTCCCTCCCTCGCTCCTCTCTCTCTCTCTCTCTCCTCCCTCCTGTTCCCTCCCTCCTGGTCCCTCACCCTCCCTCCCTTCCTCCCTCCCTCCCCCTCTACCTCCTCCTCCTTCCCCTCCTCCTCCTCCTCCTCCTCCTCCTCCTCTCCTCCTCCTCCTCCTCCTCGAGGCCTGGAGCAGAGCCAATCAACCAGCTTCCCTCCCTTGCTGACTTCCCTACCTCCTTTCCCCTCCCCCCTCCCTCTCTCCCCTCATCCTCCCTCCCGCCCTTTCTCCCTCCCTTTTTCTCCCTCCCTCCCTCCCTCCCTCCCTCCCTCCCTCCCTCCTCCCTCCCTCCTTCCAGGGCGATGATGGACAAGTCGCTCTCGCGCACGCTCCAGCAGCTGGATCAGTTCAGGGTGGTGTCGCGGGACCAGCGTCTATTTTCCGGAGAGGAAGAGGAGGAAGAGGAGGCGGAGGAGTAGGAGGATGAGCAGGAGGAGGAGGAGGAGGAGGAGATGGCGGAGGAGGAAGAGGATGAGGATGAGGATGAGGATGAGGATGATGACGATGATGATGAGGATGATGATGATGATGATGGTGGTGGTGGTGATGATGCTGCTGCTGCTGCTGCTGCTGCTGATGATGATGATGATGATGATGATGATGATGATGATGATGATGATGATGATGATGATGATGATGATGATGAGTAGGAGGAGGAGGCGTAGGAGGAGGAGGAGGAGGACAGGGGGAGGGAGAGGAATGAAGACCAGGAGGAGGATGTTTGAATGTAGCGTTGCGACTTGGTGAGCAGGATGAGTTAGTGAGTGAGCAGACAGATGTCGTAACCGACTCCGTTTGGCTCAATTGATCAATTCGAGCGTGCACCGAGCCCCGCTGTTGAACAAACATAAGCAATCCATTCTCGTACAAGTCCTTCTCGTGTATGAGCGTGGTAGCGGAGCGAGGTCGATGACAGCCGCAGCAGCGGCTCCAACACATACAGGGGGTCCACTCCCAGAGTGAAACACACCCCAGGATCGTTATCAATGCATTGGATTTGAATCGAGCCCGATTCAGTGAGTTATGTGAGGCCGCAAATTATGGAGGATATTCCAGTTTTGTGACAGTGGCCTTGAGAACTACCCATGGAGGGTTGAGAGAGTTCATAGTGAAGCAGACAGCAGCAGGGGCCAGGACGGTTACGAACGAGGATAGCTATGGCCTATTCCTCATGACTCAGAATCTGAACTCGCTGTTCTTAAGCATCGTCAATCGTAACATGTATGCAGAAAGGTGAGCAAATCAGTTACAGTTGTGGATCGAGCACCTTGAGGAGCAAACGAATGCCCAGTCGAGCGAAAGGAATCGGACCGAGTGAACAAGGTCACCGAAATCGAGGGCAAAAGGCAGGAATTGGATGGGCGGAGGAGGACAAACACCAGTTAGCGAGTACAAGGCTTCCAATAATGTGATGACGTTTGCCGGAGACAGAGCCAAGTTTCGTGATTGGACTGGAAAGCTGCTGAACGCTTTAGCGCAAGTTGGCCTCCATTACACCAGAGAACCCACTAACAGCTTGAGACCATGGATGGGGCGCTGTATGATGAAGATGACGATTTCATGGCCCGAATCTTGCATTAAAGGCAAACGGCGACAGTCTACAGTAAAGCCAACTTGGTTAAAGAGACGAAGATGACAACAAGGGAGTTCGTAAAACATGATTCACAACCTAGATGAAGTTATTTGGTTCGCGCTAAGCGACAAGCTAGATGGAGTAGAACCCAGGGGACAAATCAAACGGCTGCGTGCTGGAGACGGAGTGCAAGCGTACTAAAACATATAAACATTGTATTCGGCAGGTACGGGTTTTGCAATGTCGGCCAACGCGAGCAGCCTAGCAATAATCCCGACAGACCCAAGAACATCAGCGGCGTGGCAACGCATCTACAACAGTGGACAGCCCTGGTAGAAACGTTGGAGGCAGACGGATCGATCCCAGACGGATCGATCCGTCTGCCAGACGGATCGACGAGGACGACGAGGCCGAGCACGACGACGGACGAGGGACAGTGCATCAGGAGGAGGAGGAGGAGGAGGAGGAGGAGGAGGAGGAGGAGCAGGAAGAGGAGGAGGAGGAGGAGGAGGAGGAGGAGGAGGAGGAGGAGGAGGAGGAGGAGGAGGAGGAGGAGGAGGAGGAGGAGGAGGAGTTGGAGGAGGAGGAGGAAAGAGGAGGAGGAGAGTGGCGACGACGACGACGATCGGCTTCGATGGGAGGTGTGGTTTTTGGGTCGGGCCCGCGGCGGCCGCTGGGACGAGAGCTTTGGCAGCCCGGCCAAGCGACCTCGGCGGGGCGCAACTGCTGGAGAGCATCTCGGGGCTGGAGCACAGCCGATCGGCGCGCGCCCTCGCACCCCCCCCCCCTGGAGTCCTTCCCCTCCTCGCTGCCTCCTCCTCTCCTTCTCCTCCTTCTTCCTCTTCATCCCTCCTTCCTCTCCTCGCTCCCCCTCCCCCCTCCTCCTCCCCCTCCTCCCTCCCCCTTCTCCTCCTCCGCTCCGCCTCCTCCTCCCTCCTCCTCGTCCTCCTCCTCCTCCCCCCTCCTCCTCGGCCTCCTCTCCTCCTCCTCCTCCTCCTCCTCCTCCTCCTCCTCCTCCTCCTCCTCCTCCTCCTCCCCCTCCTCCTCCTCCTCTTCCTCCTCATGTTCCTTGGGTATTTTTAAGTTTTCGTCCAACATCGGCCTGTAGGGGGACAGGCCCGACTTAAGAGTAGATCTGGGCTGCTTCTGGCGCCTGTTTCGAGCAGGTGGAGTCTCCCCACTGCTGCAAGCAGTCGCACTGAGCAGCGGTCCGGAACCAGACCCCCCCTCGCCCGCCCTTTCGCCCAATGTCGAAGTGCCGAGCAAGGAAACGTTCACAACCTCAAACCTAGTCGTCGGGGGGGGAAGTGAGAATGGACATGCCCTCTCAAAAGGCGGCGGGGTTTCTCAGGAGCCCTCCAGTGACCGTTTGCGTCTTCGGAGAAGGCTAAGAAAGCTTCTCAGACTGAGCCTTCTGAGAAGGCCCGCCCCCTCTGCCTTCCCCCCCCTTGGCGCGCCGCCTCGTCGTCGTCGTCGTCGTCGTCGTCCTCGCCGCCGCCGCCGCTGCCGTCTTCGTCGTCGTCGTCGTGGTCGTCGTCGTCGTCGTCGTCGTCGTCCGCGGCGGCGGCGGCGGTGGGCCTCGGAGGACCTCACGCGCGGCACGCTGACTGGCGGCGTGTTCACCGCCCTGGCGTACGCGTGCCTGGCGCTGCTGCTGATCGCGGAGACGTCGGCCTTCCTGAGGAGCCTCTGGCGGCCTCCTTCCTCCTCCCCTTGCCCTCCGCCATCCTCCATCCTCCATCCTCCATGCTCCATCCTCCTCCTGCTCCCTCCTAATTCTTCCTGTTCCTTCTCCGCACGAACTACACGAGTGCGCGTCTACAGATGGGACGTGGTAGGCTGGTGCAAGGACTTCTCGAAGCAGGGCCTCCAGGAGCATCACGTGCTCTGGGGCCTGTCCCTTCAGCTCCTCCTCGCATTGGGCGGCCGGCACAGAACGACGTAGTTCCTTTGGCTTTCAAGTTCGCGTTCTGTCACCGCTTTGACGAGCGCGCCATTCATCCAAGCATCCTCCGCCATCCTCCATCCTCTACCTATACGACCACCCTTCGGGTGATAACGAGGTTCGGGGGGGGAGGAACCAACGTCTCACTCGATCGGTCTCACTATCGATCTCACTATCGATCTCACTATCGGTCTCGCTCGATCGATCTCACCCGATCGATCTCACAATCGATCTCACTCGATCTATTTCATTCGATCGATCTCACAATCGATCTGACTATCGATCTCACAATCGATCTCACTATCGATCTCACTATCGATCTCACAATCGATCTCACATTCGGTCTCACTATTGATCTCACTATCGTAATCACAATCGATCTCACAATCAACGTCATCATCAGCATCAACATCATCGTCATCAACGTCATCAACATCAGCAACATCATCATCATCGGGACATCATCATCATCACCTCATCACCATCATCATCAACATCATCATCATCACCATCATCATCATCATCGGGACACCATCATCGTCACCATCATCAGCATCAACATCATCATCATCGAGACACCATCATCATCATCAGCATCGATACACCACCATCATCATCACCATCATCATCTCATCATCATCATCATGATCAACAACATCATCAACATCATCATCGTCATCATCATCATCATCATCATTATCGGGACACCATCATCAGCAACATCATCAACATCATCATCATCATCATCATCGGGACACCATCATCATCGTCACCATCATCATCACCATCATCATCATTGCCAGAACACCAGCATTAGCATCATCATCACCATCATCATCATCTTCGGGCCACCATCATCAAACCCATCATCATCACCTCATCCTCATCCTCATAACCAACATCATCATCATCATCATCATCATCATCATCATCATCGGGACACCATCATCGTCATCATCATCAACATCATCATCATCGGGACATCATCATCATCACCATCATCATCAACAGCATCAGTATCAACTTCATCAACACCATCATCATTGGGACACCATCATCATCATCATTTTCATCATCATCAGCATCATCATCATCATCATCATCATCATCATCTCATCATCTTATCATCATCAACATCATCAGGATCATCATCATCATCAACATCATCACCGGGACACCATCATCATCAGCAACATCAGCATCACCAACATCATCATCATCATCATCATCGTCATCATCGGGACACCATCATCATCACCACCATTGCCATCATCATCACCATCATCATCATCATCATCATCCTCATCATCAGCATCATAATCATAATCATAATCATCATCATCATCATCATCATCATCATCATCATCATCATCATCATCGGGACACAATTATCATCACCACCATCACCATCATCATCAGCAACATCATCATCATCATCATCATCTTCTTCATCATCATCGGGACACCGACGGGACACTGGCGGGACACCGGCGGGACACCGCGCGGCACCGGCCCCCGGAAAGGAAACATTTGGTCCGGCCGCGCCTCAGCCGGAGGCGGGACACCGGCGGGACACCGCGTGGCACCGGCCCCCGGAGAGGAGTCATTTTGTCCGGCCGCGCCTCAGCCGGAGGAGACTTTCTTCTCGCCCGCCCACGCAGTTTCGCCTCGCCCGCACGCACGGCACGCACGAACACGAAACTAAACCGATTTCCCGGTAGGGGGGCTCTCCGTTCCGTTTCGATCTCACCCCCTCACCTCCGATCCTCCATCCTCCATCCTCCTCCTCATCCCCACCCTTCCCTGAAAATGAGAAAACTATCAGTAGATAATGAATTCATTCCGAGTTATTTTTATTATTGTTGTAGCGGATCTACGCTCTACCCTCCCACGGATTTACTCCAAAGAGGACTCTTCAACCGGCTTCATCTTCCGAATAGTCCAGAGTTAGTCCGTGGTGAGGTTGGCAGTAGATCCGCCTGGGTCCTGCATCAACTCTGAAGTACATTCACGCATCGCCGCGGAATTTCCCAACACCGCCTTGGCCGTGACTTTACTCTGGAATGAGCTCGCGGGCCCCATGTCGGCCCGCACTACTCTCGCCTGGGCCCGAATCAGTACTCCCGCGGGCCCCAGGGCGCGGAGCAGCCGCCCCTGAGAATCGCTTCCGGAGAAAGCTCATCCCGCCGCGGGCGCTCGGGCGGAGAAGCGGAGCAGCGAGTCCTTGGAATGCTTCGAAGGAATCGTTTTCCCGCGGGGCCCGAGTCCCGAAACTTGTGGAGGACGCTCACTGGAGAGGAAGCATGCTGGCAACAAGATTCCAGATGTCTAGAACATGCTTCGAACATGTTGTAAATAGGTTGAAATCAGGACTGGAACATGTTTTGAACATGTTTCACACATTTTAAGCACATCTTTAATTCAACGATATGTTGGAGTGTCCACTGCCATGGCAGCCGCAACCCTGAACAACCAACGTTTCGTGGGGGGCGCCCGCGGGCTCACCGGGCCGAAGCAGCCCACGGACCACGGCCGCAGGAGGTGATCGCTGCTGCGTTCCGCAGCGCTCTTGTTCTTTTGGGGGTGTTGTCGTGAGGCCTCTCTTTCTGTCCCCCCTCTCTGTTAATTCAAGCTTCGCGCGGCCCGCTTAGCTTCGACCGGACGAGGTGCGCTCTCGACCCGCAAATCAAAGAAAGTTTTCTTGGGGGGTCCTTGGGTGCTCGAAGTTATTTCTGGGATGTGGTCCTTCAGACGAGGAGCTGTCCCCCCTGGGGACCCGTGGTCTCAACGAGTCAAGACAGTAGAGGTCTGGGGGCGATCGCGCCTCCTGGAGTAGGAGGCGTTTGGAAGAGGCAGAGGGCAAGCAGCAGGCGAGAGAGGTGACCGTTTGGGGGGGCGGGGGGGGGAGCCCGGACTCCGACAGGCGCAATCCTTGGAGCGAGTCGTTGGCCGGCGGGGCCCAGAGCCGGACAAAAACTAGGTGTGCGGTCTGCCGCGCGCCTTGGCGGGGCCCGCGGGCCCGCGGAGGAGAGCCGCCATGCATTCAGAGGGGGGGGACCTTCACGGTTTTCCGTGCTGCAGCGCAGCGCCGCCTCGCGCGAATTCGCGCGTGTTCAGGCCGTCCCCGCAGGCAGCGCAGGTCCGCGCGGGAGCGCAGGACCAGCCGAGAGGTCGGGAGCATGTCCGGCGCCGTGGCTCGGGACGATCATATGTCTAGGGTCCGATGCGCACCGCCACGCGGGCCCCGACGGGGAAGAGCGCGGCTTGTCGTTGATGCGGCAGTCGCCTCTCGACAGCTTGAGCGTATCGGTGTGGGTGCGGCTGTCTGCTCCCTTGCAAAGGGGCCGTCCTCCCGATGAGCGGGCGGACGTTGTCGTCGCCAGAGAGCGTTGTGCCGAAGTGGTTCAGGTCGACGACGACGCAGGGCTGGGAAGGAGGGTCACCGCCCACCAAACCACCCCAACCCAACCCGAAGGCCCCAAATTGCCCCCCATTTCCAGGGGGGGGGGGTCGGGGAACGTTGAGAAAGCACACATGAAGCTCGTACCCCCCCCCAACCCGAAATTCGGGTCTTCGGGTTGGGTTGGGGTGGTTTGGTAGGTAGTCAGAGGGCCCAGGAGGAGACTGAGCGGGAGGGTTCGGCGGGGCAGCGGGCCTCGCGGCCAGCGCAGGAGGGGGCCCCTGCCAGGGGGGGCCGGGGCTCGAGCGCGCCTCTCCCGACGCGACGAGGGCCCGCGAGAGCGCCGAGAGGCTGGCCCAGCAAGAGGCCGAGGCGACGGCCGCGGAGGAGCTCCCTACTGGGCACCCGGCCGCGGGCGTCGGTTGAAGCATTCGCTTGGTAGTCCCCAAACGTGGTGGTGACAACACCTGGCGGTGAGTCTCGGGCGATTCGGTGTCACCACCCGGTTTGGGGACTCGTGCGGTTTTCCGAGGATGTCTCGGACACTAGTGGGTCCAGGAGTCACAAAACCCGGTGGTGACCCCGCGGCCCCAAACCCAGCGGTGACCTTTTTGGGGATTCCAGGTCGCCACCTGGTATCTCACCACCCGGTTTGGGGGTCCCCAATTCGCGGCGCGCCGCGGATGCTTCAACCGACGCCCGCTCCGGAACCGCCAGAAGAATTCTTCACGCTTCGCGTATCCCCACCAGCCCATCTCAAAACAGCAACTCTTGCGAAGCATGCCGACAGTCGTGTTTTTCAGGCGTGTTTCCGCCTGCCCCCGCATATCTCCCCTGTTCCTCCTTCCTCCCGCCTCCTTGTACATCCTCCTTGTGGTGGGAGCGGGAGAAGGACGAGGCGGAGGAGGAGGGAGAGAAAGCGCTCCTCGTGGTTTGAGTCGTTTGGGGTTTCTCGTCCTGGTGTGAGTCGTTCGGGCCCTTCTTCCTGGTGTGAGTCGTTCGGGCTCTTCGTGGTGTGAGTCGTTCGGGCTCTTCGTCCTGGTGTGAGTCGTTCGGGCTTCTCGTGGTGTGAGTTGTTCGGGCCCCTCGTCCTGGTGTGAGTCGTTCGGGCCCCTCCTCCTGGTGTGACTCGTTCGGGCTCCTCGTGGTGTGAGTCGTTCGGGGCCCTCGTCGTGGTGTGAGTCGTTCGGGCTCCTCGTGGTGTGAGTCGTTCGGGCGCCTCGTCCTGGTGTGAGTCGTTCGGGCCCCTCCTTCTGGTGTGAGTCGTTCGGGCTCTTCGTGGTGTGAGTCGTTCGGGCCCCTCGTCCTGGTGTGAGTCGTTCGGGCTCCTCGTGGGGC